AACCAAGAATATGAATTCCTGCAGTCACGAAAGTTTTAAGTCAAAATGTAGCCGCTATGATGTTGTGTGGCGAGCGAGGCCTGTCCGGGGACTGTGCTGCCGCATGCCAGCCAGCGAGTGGGCAAGTTGGGGACGTGGGACGTGGGGACGTGGGGCACTGGGACGTGGGGCACTGGGACGTGGGGACGTGGGGATCGTGGGGACGTGGGGCACTGGGGACGTGGGACGTGGGCACTGGGACGTGGGGACGTGGGGACGTGGGGACGTGGGGCACGGGACGTGGGGGACGTGGGGACGTGGGGACGTGGGGACGTGGGGCACTGGGACGTGGCGGGACGTGGGACGTGGGGACGGGCTGGGACGTGGGGCACTGGGACCGTGGTGGCACTGGGACGTGGGGACGTGGGGCACTGGGACGTGGGGACGTGGGGCATTGGGACGTGGGGACGTGGGCACTGGGACGTGGGGACGTGGGGCGTGGGGCACTGGGACGTGGGGACGTGGGACGTGGGGACGTGGGACGTGGGGCACTGGGACGTGGGGACGTGGGGACGTGGGGACGTGGGGACGTGGGGCACTGGGACGTGGGGACGTGGGGACGTGGGGACGTGGGGACGTGGGGCACTGGGACGTGGGGACGTGGGGACGTGGGGACGTGGGACGTGGGGCACTGGGACGTGGGCACTGGGACGTGGGACGTGGGCACTGGGACGTGGGACGTGGGGCACTGGGACGTGGGGACGTGGGGCACTGGGACGTGGGGACGTGGGACGTGGGGACGTGGGGACGTGGGGCACTGGGACGTGGGGCACTGGACGTGGGGACGTGGGGCACTGGGACGTGGGGACGTGGGGCACTGGACGTGGGGCACTGGGACGTGGGGACGTGGGCACTGGGACGTGGGGCACTGGGACGTGGGGACGTGGGGCACTGGGACGTGGGGCACTGGGACGTGGGGCGCTGGGTGGGGCGTGGGGACGTGGGGACGTGGGGACGTGGGGCACTGGGACGTGGGGACGTGGGGACGTGGGGACGTGGGGACGTGGGGCACTGGGACGTGGGGACGTGGGGACGTGGGGACGTGGGGACGTGGGGCACTGGGACGTGGGGCACTGGGACGTGGGGACGTGGGGCACTGGGACGTGGGGACGTGGGGCACTGGGACGTTGGGGACGTGGGGCACTGGGACGTGGGGACGTGGGGACGTGGGGACGTGGGGACGTGGGGCACTGGGACGTGGGGCACTGGGACGTGGGGACGTGGGGCACTGGGACGTGGGGACGTGGGGCACTGGGACGTGGGGCACTGGGGACGTGGGGACGTGGGGCACTGGGACGTGGGGCACTGGGACGTGGGGACGTGGGGCACTGGGACGTGGGGACGTGGGGCACTGGGACGTGGGGCACTGGGACGTGGGGACGGGGGCACTGGGACCGTGGGGACGTGGGGCACTGGGACGTGGGACGTGGGGCACTGGGACGTGGGGACGTGGGGCACTGGGACGTGGGGACGTGGGGCACTGGGACGTGGGGCACTGGGACGTGGGGACGTGGGGCACTGGGACGTGGGGCACTGGGACGTGGGGACGTGGGGCACTGGGACGTGGGGACGTGGGGCACTGGGACGTGGGGCACTGGGACGTGGGGACGTGGGGCACTGGGACGTGGGGACGTGGGGCACTGGGACGTGGGGCACTGGGACGTGGGGACGTGGGGCACTGGGACGTGGGGACGTGGGGCACTGGGACGTGGGGACGTGGGGCACTGGGACGTGGGGCACTGGGACGTGGGGACGTGGGGCACTGGGACGTGGGGACGTGGGGCACTGGGACGTGGGGCACTGGGACGTGGGGACGTGGGGCACTGGGACGTGGGGACGTGGGGCACTGGGACGTGGGGCACTGGGACGTGGGGCACGGGGCGTGGGGACGTGGGGACGTGGGGCACTGGGACGTGGGGACGTGGGGCACTGGGACGTGGGGCACTGGGCGTGGGGCACGTGGGGGGGACGTGGGGCACTGGGACGTGGGGACGTGGGGCACTGGGACGTGGGGGCACTGGGACGTGGGGCACGGGGCGTGGGGACGTGGGGACGTGGGGCACTGGGACGTGGGGACGTGGGGCACTGGGACGTGGGGCACTGGGACGTGGGGCACGGGGCGTGGGGACGTGGGGACGTGGGGCACTGGGACGTGGGGACGTGGGGCACTGGGACGTGGGGCACTGGGACGTGGGGCACGGGGCGTGGGGACGTGGGGACGTGGGGCACTGGGACGTGGGGACGTGGGGCGTGGGGACGTGGGGCGTGGGGCGTGGATGTGAACACAATGAACGCGGTGCGCGTGGCGTCTCAATGGGCCCCATTGTGGCCGCGCCAAATCCGCGCGTCAGCCTCATGCGCTCCAGCGAATCTCTCCCTCGCCTGCACTCCTCCCGAGATCCACCCCACCTCCCCCCTCCCTCCACCCAGCCCATACAACGACCCCCCACACACACACACCTACCCCCACCCAGCCTACCAACGACTCCCCCCCACATACACCTACCCCCACCCAGCCCAAACAACGACCCCCCCCCACACACACACCTACCCCCACCCAGCCCACCAACGACTCCCCCCCACACACACCTACCCCCACCCATCCCCACCAGCGACCCCCCCACACACACCTACCCCTACCCAGCCGTAACAACGACCCCCCCCCCACACACATCTACCTCCACCCAGCCCACCAACGACCCCTCCACACACATCTACCTCCACCCAGCCCCCACCGTGACCCGCGCGCAGAAGAAGAATGTGGCCCTGTTCGTCGAGAGGAGGGGGGGGGATGGTGGAGCAGGGGTGGACCGAGGGTGGAGCCAGCGAGGAGGAGACGCGCGGCTTCTGCGCAGTCGGTCCTCTGCCGCCCCCCCGTGGAACCCGTGACCCCTGTCGCGTGACCCCTGTCGCTTGACCTGTCGCGTGACCTCTGTCACGTGACCCCTGTCGCGTGACCTGTCACGTGACCCCTGTCGCGTGACCCCTGTCGCGTGACCTCTGTCACGTGACCTCGGTGACAAAAAGGACGCCGTAGGTGGCACTGTGACTTTAATCAGGACTAAGCACGACAAACCACCCCCCCCCCCGCACAAATTGTAAACGCTTTAAAATAATAATGAACGTGTGAGTATTTGAGAATAAACACAGTACGGCGATGATGTAGGCAGTGAGACTAGCTATTAACTGTTTAACCAACTATTGTTTTTTTTTCTCTAACCAGGTAAGGCCCACCAATGCGCTGTGTAGCTCTTTTTCAAATGACAGCTCAACGGAGTTGCCGTATTACGTGGAAATGTACAGTAGTCGAACACTCTAAACGCGTGACGTTGACTCTAAATGTGGAGGGGAAAACCGGAGAGAGAGAGAGCACGGGGAGAGAAATATACATCAGCAGGCGTCAGGGTCGGAATCGAACCCACGACCGCCTGCATACCAGGCGAGGGAGTTAACATCTCCTAACCACCGTGATAATGATGAGAGAGAGAGACACGCAAACTGAAAATATACAGCAGCAGGCGTCACGGTCGGGATCGAACCCACGACCGCCTGCATACCAGGCGAGGTAGTTAACATCTGGCCACCGTGGCGACCGAGGCTGTGCCCACAGCGCGCGTGGCCGCTCAGAGCCGAGCGGTGGCGGTGCTGCGCCACGGGGAGAGAGCGCCAATGGAGCGGGGTGGGGGTGCCCCGGTTGGAGGGCACCGCGACATTCGGGGAAACATTTGGGGCAACACATCTTAAAACACATTCCTGCGGAGAGAGCTGGTAGGAACGTTGGGTTGCTCGGTCAATGGCCAGGGTCAACGGCGGCGTGGTGTATTCCGCAAATATGGCCGACTGTGAGGGCGGGCACAAGCCGACGTAAGTAGGTTAAACGTTGAGTTTTATAAGGGCACCACGGGGTGACCAGCCCCTCCCCACCCTCCCCACCCAGCCCCTCCCCACCCTCCCCTCTCTACCCAGCACCACCCCTCCCATTTTTGGATGCACGACGGACGGACGGACACAATAATCCCCTGTGGACTGGTGTAACCAGGAGGTTCCTACCAGTAACAAATACATAGCTGTGTGGAAACTGGATAGGAGCCCCTGGCCCATCAGTCCAGAGGTAGTGCACGAGTAGCGATGATGACGATGATGACGCATTCTCGCTGTGACTCTCAGCCTCCTTGTGTGCACGAGGACATGGGACCAGCACCCCTCCCTCCAACGAGCGTGTGGGCAGCGTGCACGCCAAATGATCGCTCGGTTCCCCTCCTTCACTTGACCACGAGGTGAAGTGAAAGCATGGCGCCGCACGGCAGACGGCGTTGTCGCTTTGCCGCAGTGTGTGTCTGTGCGAGCAGTCATCACCCTGTGTAGTGGTTAGCCTGCCGCGCTACGAACCCGGCGACCCCATTCCCGCTCACGTCCAACACTAGTGACGATTATTTGAATCGGTCATTGGCTTCCCCCACGTCGACTCAGCCTCAAATGAGTACCTGGTGGTGTGTGTAAACATCACCACTGGGGAGACAAAGGCGGCCGGGCGTGGTGTTGGCCACCCACCCTCTCGTGTGCCGTGCCAGCCTTCATAGGTGCTCGCTAACAGCACTTGCCACAACAGTCTGTTACAGGCTATACGGGGGATATTTATCTTTGTTTACAGTCACTATAACGCGTGGGATCGAGACATCACCAGACTCTCAAGAATTTAGAAGGGGAGGACTGCACCTACAGCTCCGAGGGGAGTGGGGATCAACCCCTATCAGCCCCCCCCCCCTCAACACTGCGGGGCTGGGACGCACACTTACAGCAGCAGCAGCAGCCCCGCATTCCTCTTGAGTGCTGCTGCTGTCTGTTGCTGGCTGCTCCTTGCTGCCTGCAAGAGACACCGGGGAAGTGCGATGTCCTCTGGGTGTGACGATTACGCCGGGGTCTCCCATGTGCGCCGCGTGACACGGTGCGATGTCCCGCAGGAGTGAGCTGTGATGAGATGGTCCTGGCGCTGCTGGGGGAGACGGTGCAGATGATCTGCGACTCCCCGCGGGGAACGCAGCCCAAGCTGCGCGATGGGGCCGCCGAGTGGTTTGTGGTGAGTCCCTCCTGTCGCTCCTCTCTGTCCACGCGCCCAGTCTTCGACTTTCGATGTCAGGCCTCCGAACTCGCCGCACTCGTCCAGATTGGACGGGCGAGCGGTGAGCCGGGCGAACGCAGCCGCGTGGCTTCCACGGCTGCGTTGACGCGGCCTGGAGGCGTACCAGTTGAACGCGGAGGATGTTCGCGACCAATGTCATCCACGTGAGAATAGGGGTTCCCCTTTTTTCATGGCAACAAAACAGCTGTGTTAAGATGTTAAAACACCAAACTGAAACCTTTTACAAGGAATCATGTCTGCATTGACCACAATACTTGTGGTCAGAATCCAAACAAAAACACACTATGATAATATATGCATCGTCTTTGAAACTGATTGGTCCACACCAGAGACAGCTTTCTTTAGAGCCTAGTCTCAAACGGTGTTAGTTTCAGTTTCATTTATTAGGTATAGCCATGTGAGCCATTCGGCTCTTGAATCGGGTGCAACCGCAACAAAACAAAAAACAAAAACGTGAACAAGAAAACATCTTAAAGTGACTTTGCGCAAACAGAAAAATCCAGGAAAAAACTGCAAAGTCTTCCAGAAAAAAAAGCACCGTACACCAACGCTGTGCAAAAATCCCAGTGGGATGCAAGTCAATCAACAACAACAACCACAATACAACTTAGATTAAGGCCATCATTCTAACTCCGTACTACAACAAACAAACATGGCCAAACCAAAAAACTTTTCGAAATCACAATAAATCCATAAGCAATGTAACAGTGATCATAGGAACTGTGACCGAAATTTCACAATAAACGACATGAACAACATGTACCACCAAACCCTGTAGCCATCGACCAGAGGACGCCAAAAGTCCACGTCTCGCAGCCCCATAAAGGGCATCTCGCATCCCCAGGGAGTGCAGCGTGCACCTCAGGTTAAGAAGAAGAACCATAGCTCCAGACCAACGGTAGACATCAGGCGGCTCTTTGGCTGCCCACTCGCGGGCAGCAGTTTAAAGGGAAAAAAACATTAAAACTTAAAACGTAATTTAACGTAAATATAATCGATTAAATGTGACAGGAGAGTGGGGTCACTGTGGAATGTCTTGGTGACAAAATATAAAAGAGTCAAACTTTAGTATAAAAAAAGAAGAATCGATTTTACCCTTCCTGGCAATAAAAGGGGTCTTATGCTGTTCAAATCTATATATATAAAATCGTTCATGTCTGTCTGTCTGTGTGTGTGTGTGTGGACTTTGGCCCATACGCACTTTCATTGGACGGCGGTTGCCCCTGGCAACGGCTAGCCACGCCTTCGCCGCTTTCATTGGACCTGGCAACGGCTAGCCACGCCTTCGCCAAGGGCTGCAGTTTCATTGGACGGCGGTTGCCCCTGCCAACGGCTAGCCACGCCTTCGCCACTTTCATAAGCTCCGTATTTAATTAAATAATAGCCATTACACAGTATTGTTGGAGCGCTAGGGGGGGGGGAAGGAACGCCACCCGTACCCTGCCTCTTCCAAGCCGACAATTTTAGGCGAGGCCGCAGGCTTTGCACGCTACTAGGCCTCGACACCCACCACGCCACTCTGAGGTAAATTCATCAAAGTTTTTCCTACTCTTCACTACACCCCCACCACAATGTGTGCTATTAATATTACTTTTAAACCCAACGCGCCAACAATCGATTACTTTAATGTTCACTGTACAAATACTCATTAAGCTGGGTGAGCGTACTGCCAGTCTATCATGTACACTGTAGCCTGCTTATTAAGCTCGGTGAGCGTACTGCCACTCTATCATGTACACTCTAGCCTGCTTATGAAGCTGAGTGCGTGTACTGGCAGTCTATAATGTGGACTCTTGCCTGGTTATTAGAATCGATTCTTTATATGTTCTTTGTACAAACAGTCATTAAGCTGCTTGAGCGACCCCAGTTCGATTCCAACTCACGCCCACCACCGCTGACGATTATTTGAAACGGACCTGGCCCTCCCCTAGGTCCACTCAGCCTCAAAAGCGTAACTGCTGTCGTGTGTGAACATCGTCACTGGGGAGACAAAGGCGGCGGGGCATCGTGGATCCAAGTCCCGGGCGAAGCCGGGTCATGTGTATGTGTGTTTGTGTTTATGTGTATGTCTGTGTGTCTCTATGTATGTGTGTATGTATGTGTATGTATGTGTTTGTGTGTATGTGTGTCTGTATGTATGTGGGTTTTTTTTTATGTCTTTATGTGTATGTCTGCGTGTCTCTATGTATGTGTGTATGTACGTGTGTGCATGTGTTTGTGTGTATGTATGTGTGTGTCTATGTATGTGTGTGTCTATGTATGTGTGTGTATGTGTGTGTATGTATGTGTGTTATGTGTCTCTCTGTGTCTGCATGTATGTGTGTGTGTATTGTGTATGTGTTTGTGTGCATGTATGTGTGTGTTTGTGTGTATGTGTATGTCTGTGTGTATGTGTTTGTGTGTATGTGTGTGTATGTATGTGTGTGTATGTGTTTGTATGTGTTTGTGTGTTTACGCTCGCATTACACAAATGTGTTGCTGGTCTAAGGCGTTCCTCGCACAGCATTGCCGCTTTATTATTTCAGTCGTTTACTGCCTTACGCACCCTGAAAGTCGTGTGTGTCTGCAGCAAGCGCGTGTATGTGTACCTATGGACGCGCGCGCGTGTGTTGTGTAGGGGGAACGGTAGTGTAGTGCTTAGCGTGCTGTCTGTGTCTGTGTGTGTGTGTGTCTGTCTGTGTCTGTCTGTGTGTGTCTGCGTGTGTCTGTGTGTGTGTCTGTGTGTGTGCGTGTGTGGTGTGTGGGGAGCGGTAGTGTAGTGCTTAGCGTGCTGTCTGTGTGTCTGTGTGTGTGTGTGTCTGTCTGTGTCTGTCTGTGTGTGTCTGCGTGTGTCTGTGTGTGTGTCTGTGCGTGTGTGGTGTGTGAGGAGCGGTGGGTGTAGTGCTTAACGCTACGCTGCGCTACCAACCCGGCGAACCCAGTTCCATTCCCGCTCACGGCCACCACCGGTGACGATTATTTGAACCTCCCCTAGGTCCACTCAGCCTCAAACGAGTAACTGGTGTGGCGTATTAACATCGGCACTTGGGAGACAAAGGCGGCTGGGCGTGGTAGATCCAAGTCCCGGGCGAAGCCGGGTCATGTGTATGTGTTTATGTGTATGTCTGTGTGTCTGTATGCATGTGTGTATGTATGTGTGTGTATGTGTTTGTGTGTATGTCTGTGTGTGTATGTATGTCGGTTTTGCCGCCGTGGTGGATCCAAGTCCCGGGCGAAGCCGGGTCATGTGTATGTGTTTATGTGTATGTCTGTGTGTCTGTATGCATGTGTGTATGTATGTGTGTGTATCTGTTTGTGTGTATGTCTGTGTGTGTATATATGTCGGTTTTGCCGCCGTGGTGGATCCAAGTCCCGGGCGAAGCCGGGTCATGTGTATGTGTGTATGTGTTTATGTGTATGTCTGTGTGTCTGTATGCATGTGTGTATGTATGTGTGTGCATGTGTTTGTGTGTATGTATGTGTGTGTGTATGTATGTGGGTTTTTTTGTATGTGTTTATGTGTATGTCTGCGTGCCTGTATGTATGTGTGTATGTACGTCTGTGGATGTGTTTGTGTGTATGTATGTGTGTGTCTATGTATGTGTGTGTATGTGTTTCTGTGTTTGTATGTGTGTGTACTAGCTGTACTACCCGGCTTCGCCCGGGACTTGTATCCACCACGGCCGGCCGCCTTTGTCTCCCCAGTGGCGATGTTAATACGCCACACCAGTTACTCGTTTGAGGCTGAGTCGACCTATGGGAGGTTCAAATAATCTTGACCGGTGGTGGCCATGAGCGGGAATCGAACTCGGTTCGCCGGGTTGGTAGCGCAGCGTAGCGTTAACCACTACACCCACCGCTCCTCACACACACAGACGCACAGACACACACACACGCAGAAACACACAGACAGACACAGACAGACACACAGACAGCACGCTAACCACTACACTACCGCTCCCCACACACCACAGACACACACACAGAACACACACACAGACACACAGACAGACACACACACAGACACACAGACAGCACGCTAACCACTACTCTACCGCTCCCCACACACCACACACGCACACACACAGACACACACACAGACACACACACAGACACACGCAGAAACACACAGACAGACACACAGACACACAGACAGCACGCTAACCACTACACTACCGCTCCCCACACACCACAGACACACACACAGAACACACACACAGACACACAGACAGACACACACACACAGACACACAGACAGCACGCTAACCACTACACTACCGCTCCCCACACACCACACACGCACACACACAGACACACACACAGACACACACACAGACACACACAGACACACACACACAGGCAGCACGCTAAGCACTACACTACCGTTCCCCCTACACAACACACGCGCGCGCGTCCATTGCTGCAGACACACACGACTTTCAGGGTGCATACGGCAGTAAACGACTGAAATAATAAAGCGGCAATGCTGTGTAAGGAACGCCTTAGACCCGCATTATACATTTGTGTAATGCGAGCGTAAACACACAAACACACACAAACACATACACAATACACACACACATACATGCAGACACACAGACAGACACATAACACACATACATACACACACATACAAACACAGAAACACATACACACACATACATAGACACACACATACATACACACAAACACATCCACAGACGTACATACACACATACATACAGGCACGCAGACATACACATAAACACATACAAAAAAACCCACATACATACACACACACATACATACACACAAACACATGCACACACATACATACACACATGCATACAGACACACAGACATACACATAAACACATACACACATACACATGACCCGGCTTCGCCCGGGACTTGGATCCACCACGGCGGCAAAACCGACATACATACACACACAGACATACACACAAACAGATACACAC